TTTTAAAAAAAATTATTTTTTTAAAAAAAATAAAGCATATTTAAAAAATAAAATCAATCCTTATGAAATTTAATGCCATGTTCCAACCATGAGCCAGTACACATCAATGATTGTATGCTTTTTTCAGAAAGACGTGCACGTTTAGCCTGGATAGTATCACCTGCTTTCGAGAATATTTGTTCAGAAGGCACTGATGTCGTCTGGATTGCAAGAAAATCTTTGGCCATTTGTGGAAAATGAAAACTGTTAAGTTTCCACCATTTCAAAGGATTAATGTTCATTGGTAAAGTAGCCTCATTCTAATATTTGGTAAGTTCATCCGTTGGACTGTTTAAGACATTAAGCCGATGTCATTTTTGCGCAACTTTTTCAACACATGTCATTGAATTTAATACTTTCCCAGAATTTGAAGTCATATTAGTAGGCAAATTATTTAATCCAGACTCTGAATACTCCTAAAAAATTTGACTAAAATAATCCTGATTTTCTGGTATGTTCATATTAACTAGCATTAATTCAAGTTTTATTCAGGAGTCAAGAATCGAAGCCATAAAAGCTGCTTTGTCATAGATATGATCCATATATTAATTAAGTTTTTTCATCATTTGTGTTGCAGCAGTTTTAAGAAATTGGGGATTTGATGAATCTTGAATATATGATAAAATAACATCAATTATATCATTTATTAATAAAGTGAAAAGGCCCAATATTACATATGTACTACCAGAAAGTATATTTGTAATTTCATAAAATGATTGTAAAAACCAGGTTACAGCTTGAAGATCAGAATCTTCTTCTTGACTAAGCCTATAATAGACAAGATTACTATGATGTCTCATAACTGCTGCTATCAACGTAGACATAGACATATAAACTGATAATATAAGGTAGGTACTATTCCATCTAGTTGATATATCCTGGGGAATTTTGCGAACTACCTCACCTTCACCAACTGACTGTTCAATTTCCTTAAAATCTTGAGCAATTGTGGATGATGATGTAATAGCTTTTACAAATCTACGTACTTTTTTAATTGATACTTTAATTGGCGCTATACCTGCCATAACAACAAGATGTAACACATATGCAAGACAGCGACATGAATAAAAATGGTGGTTTTGTATAGATAAATGCATATTTAGTAAGCGGATTGCTAAAACAACATTAGATCTGCTATCTGTAGTTGCACAAATTATCTT